TTTATTCTTAATTAAACAAAATTACTTTTAAAACCCTAATTTCAAACCCTAATTTTCTTTTAATTCCTCTTAACAAGCAAAAAAAAAAAACTCACAAGCATAATTTCAAAATTCCAATTTTTGATTTCAAATTTCAAAATATAGACATTTCATAATTTCAATTCAACAATTCTCAATTACATGAATTTCATAATATGACATTAACAATTATCAATTTTATGAATTTCGGATTTTTTATTCACGATTCTTAATTAAAAAAAATTACTTTTAAAACCCTAATGTCAAATCCTAATTTCTTTTTAATTCCTCTTAACAAGCAAAAAAAAAACAATTTCCAATTCAACAAATATAAGTTGGTTCATTCAAAATTCAAAATTCAAAATTCAAAATATAAACATTTTGATTCACAAGCATAATTTCAAAATCCCAATTTTTTATTTCAAATTTCAAAATATAAACATTTCATAATTTCAATTCTCAATTCTCAATTCTCAATTCTCAATTCTCAATTCTCAATTCTCAATTCTCAATTCTCAATTATATGAATTTCATAATATGATATTAACATATTTATGATTTATGAATTTCATAATTCCAATTTTCAATTCTCAATTCTCATATTTATGATTTATTTAAAAAATTCAAAAAATTAAAAAAATTCCAAACCTGATTTATGATTCAAAAGCATAAAAATTCACAAGCATTAGAACCCATAATAATGTGAAGCCTAAAATGTCATCCTAAAAGGATGTGTGAACAATCTGATATCGAGCAACAATTATCATTAGAACCCTAATTTCATAACCACACTGATAAAGCGAAAAAAAGCCAAACCCAAATATTCAATTCACAAGCAGCATCCAAAAATTCAATAGCATAAAAAATTTCACAAATTCAAAAGCATTCACATTTCTGATTTCGGATTCCAAACCCTAATTTCTGATTTCAAAAAATTCCAAACCCTAATTTCATAACCACACTGATAAAACCCTAACACATTTAATAATTCACATATAAAACCCTAACATTCACAGCAAATTAATACACATTCACATTTTCACAAACACAAAAAATAAATACATAAAATTAGGGTTAACTGTCATACCACGGAGAGAGAGAAAGCAGAGAGCAGAGATCAGGGTGAGAGCAGAGAGTAGAGGGAGAGCGATAGTGAGCCGAAGCAAAGCGAGATCGAGTGAGTCTGAGAGCAGAGAGAGATGGAGAGTGAGAGATGAAGAGTGGGAGATGGAGTGTCTGTAGATCGAGCAGAGACGAAAAATGTAAATGTGAAAAACATGAATGCAAATGACGGGGTTCGTCTTTTATAGCAATGTGAAAAACGCTTTTTCAATTAGCATTTTCATTTAGCTATAGTGAAGTCGCCATTAGAAATAGCGTTTTACTCACAAAGGTGATGCACAGTGAAGTCGCTATTCTGAATAGCGCTTTCTCAAGAATTAAGCGCTATTAGAAATAGCGTTTTATAATTTAAAAACGCTGTTCCGAACAGCGTTTTATTAATTAAACTCGCGATTCACAATAGCACCTTAACTATTCATCAAAATTTGGCCTCCAAACAGTTAAAGCGCAATTTGTAATAGCGCTTTAGCTTAGTTTGAGAATTTCGTCAAAACTAGGCCTAGTTTGAAAAATAGGAAGCAAAAGAGGCTTAGTTTGGGAAAAGTCCCAGGTTTTGAACTTGTATACACAAATCTGAAGCAGTGTAGAAGAAATTTAAAAAAAAAAAAAAAAAAGGGGGGTGTAGCGTAAGCACTGTGGAAGCAAGTCAGAGCCGCGACGTAAACTATGCGCAGCCGAACCAACGGTGGCGCTGTTTTGGCGAGGTCAGAAAATGATAACGTCGGAGTGATGAGGGTCGGTGGCAACGGCCTAGACCGGAGCAAGGTGGACCGATGGTGTGATGGTGGTCTCCAGATGGAAGCAGAGTTCTGGCTTGTTGCTTTCAAAGTGAGGGGAAAATGTTGAAGTCTGGGTCTGTGCTGTTCTCTCTCAGTTTACAGAGCATGAAAATGGAGATTTGGCGAAAAGGAAATAAGGACGGTGGGTTTTGTACCTAGCTTGAAAATATATCTATCTATCTATACTATTATAAAGTGAACACAAACTCTTATGGTGTCTTAAAGCTTTACTGTCCTCATGCCATGTGGCAGTATTTTTTATTTTAAAAAAAAAATTTAAACAAAGAGATGGGCAAGGCTTGAACCCATGACCGTGGGTTAAAGTACGAGGACTCATACCACTTAAGCTAAGTACACATTATATTATTAATTTCATTATTATTTTTTTTATTCCTACTTATTTAAATTGCACACACATCGTGTGTGCCACCCGCTAGTACTATTATAAAGTGAACAGGAACTTTGGTGTCATGAAGCTTTACTCTCTTCATGCCATGTGGCAGTATTTTTTATTTTTTTAAAAAAAAATAAACAAAGAGATGGGCAAGGCTTGAACCCAGAACCATGGGTTTAAGTACGAGAACTCATACCACTTAAGCTAAGTACACATTATAATATTAATTTCATTATTATTATTTTTTATTCCTACTTATTTAAATTGCACACACATCGTGTGTGCCACCCACTAGTATATATATATATATATATATAGTCAAAGAACCTAATTTTAGTGGTCTCAAATATGAGTAATGATTCATCCCCCCTTTTCCCCCCACCCCCTTTGACCCCCTCTCTCTCTCATTGGTTACCTTTTCTTTTTCTTTTTCTTTTTTTTCCTGCTCCTCCAATCACCACCTGCCACGTGGCAAAGGGGTGAGGGGTGACCCCAAAAGGGGGTCCCAAGCATTATTCCTCAAATATTTGGAAAAAAAAAGGTGGTCAAACTTTTGATTTTATTAGTTTCGGGTAAGCGAAAAGAATTATTATTATTATTTGAATAATATTAAATATTATGAAAAAAAATATTATAAAATATTTTTTCTGAAGATTTCTTATATGTAATTTAATGATAAAAAATTTGTCATGTTCATTTTTATGATACTTAACATTATTTTTATTATTTTTCTTTGAGCAGCCTAGTTGGTGCCGTATTATTAAATGTCCAGGTTTATTTGGAGTATTAAACAATTTAAGTTTTGATTTTTTCCTTAAGAAAATAATAATAATAAAAAAAAAATCAAAGGCATAAAAGTGTGTTTACCAAACATGACACAAGGATAAAAGATTCTTTCTTATCATTACTGGTTGGCAATTTTATCCATAAATTATGATAAGTCATCAATCTTATCTAAAAGTCACATGAAGACAAAATATTCTAAGGGCGTGATACGAAGCATAGTTGAAAAAATGGAAATATGCATGTCCGAGAAATTCAAAATTTCCTATAGATGCACGGGGCAAAATGTAAGAGGAGTTAATTTGAGCCCACTAAATTAATTAGGCCTAATCAAAACCTAACCGAAAAGTCCAAAAATTGGTGAGCTTGGAAAAATATTGTCAAATAGGCCCAAGTGAATTCTATTGAACAGGCCCACAAGAAAGTCAACAAATTGGGCTGAGTAAGACACATCAAGCAGATATCTCTAAAGAGAGTCTAACAAGCCCATCCAATAAGGCCCAGAGATGAAACCCTTGAAGAAGATCCAATTTTTCGAGATATTGGCTAGTCTTGAAAGGGCTTGGAACCACGACCCTAGAGACCTATTTGAGCTTGAACTCGAAACGGTTTGGATCTACGAACCTAAAGATCTAAAGCTCTTGGCTTCGAACAGATTCGGACATAATCTAGAAGTCACTCCATTAATAAGTCCCAGAACACTTGTGGGCTCGGAGCTTTCCGGGATCTACGCACCAAAACCATGGACGTAATGGAGTCCGAACAAAGGACTTGACCCTGAGAACAATGAGTGGAGATAAATTCACTCTTCAGTTAAACTAGCCTATACCCAGGTCGAGGTGGCACGATCTAGGGGGTCCCTGAGACTCGACAATATTTGAGATAGGGCATTCTCTTGAACTACCACTGACCCTTTTGCTACAGGACGTCTTCTTGGACTACTCCTGACCCTTTGGGATGATTGGGGATCATTAGTTAGGTATAGCTAAGAAGAAGGGTTCACCGAGAGATTTATCTCCTCTTCGAGATTTTCCTCATCCTTGAAAAGGTCACCTCCTCGAAGAAGGTTGTTAGAGAGAATATTCCCCATATGCCTTACACATGGACTCCATCCTATATGATGAAGTGCCTATAAATAACACCCAAAGCTTTAAAAGGAATTGATTTTTGAGAAACAACTCTAAGGAAAGAATTAATTTCTCTTCTCCATTATCTACCTTGAGAGTGAAAATAGGAGATTCATGAGAGAGTATTGTTATTATTCTCTGTGCAACTATTTTATTTTCTTCTTCATCCAATCTCTTATCTCCATCATCTCTTTACTATTGTGTTTCTAGTTAGGACCATTGAATAATCTAAGCCTCTCATCATTTCTAGAGAATTCGAGTTTTCTTTAAAGATCTTCGAATTCTTTTAGACCACATTCTCGAAATCTCTCATAAAGTCGTTTTATCCTTAACAAAAACAAATAAATAAAAACTTAAAAGTGGCTCTTGGAATAATCCTGCAACAAATAAAAACATAAACCGGCACTTGGTACAGCAATACAAAATTCAATTGTTTCTATTTCTCCAGAGAGTGATCTACTTATAATTATAACACAATTTTACACACTCTTCACCTTATATTTTATCACTCCTTTTTATTTAGCACTTACCATATTATCATTTTTTTTAATTATAAAAGTCATGAAGATGTCTTTTTTATTTGTACAAATCTATTAGTTTCGTTAGTAAGTAAGCATACCGCTTCCAGCACAAAAACAATATATAAATAAATTTAAAAATGATAGAAATAGATAAAACATCACAGATGGGTCATAATAAGTCTAGTATTTCATACCAAAAGTGAGTTAATTGCAATTAGATCCATCCACACAAAGCTACAGCTTAACAAGAGTAAGGTTAGATCACCACATGCAAAACAACTATCATTGCATCAAGGTCTCATCTCATCATTCATTAGCTAACAATGAATTACCAAAAGTATAGTAACCAAAACCAGTTTTTTTTTTTTTTTGAAAATATACAAATAAATTAAATACAATTTGAAAAGGTACCTTCATAATTTAATGTTTTATGTAAAATATTGGAAACCCTGTCTAGCTGGTGTATCATATGATCCATCATCATCTCTCTTATTACTACATAAATGTTGCCAAATCTCGTCTCAACCTCTTCTATGCTCCCTCTTAGTGTCATCAGTTGAGGGGTTCTCCAATGAAGTGAACATGAAGTTGCCAGAAAACAAAGCTTCTTTATCTGCCCATCAAAAATCACATTTTGTCAGAAAATATGAAATTTCCAATATGTTTAGTCTATCTCAAGAAAAGTTCAACTGATATGCCACAAGAACATTTGCATCGAACAAAAGTTTGGCATGCATGGGACCATGCCCACAAATCTGACATTTCCAAACCCCCTACGGTGTAAAGGGATGCAAGTTAAAGTTTGGCATAACCATAACTTCATTTAGATGCCGATTGAATGGCCATTCATCTCAACCCAGGTTGCTCAGGTAAATGGAGGGAGGTTGCTGAGTAACAACTTTATCCACACAGGAATAATTATATCGGATAAGTCAAATTATCGAATGGCTCCTTGAAACTTTGATTATCTATAATGCATATAAATAGATAAATAGGGTGGGAAAATATCTAATATATAAAGAAAATTGATGATTATTTAAACAATATCCATTGTTTAATTTAATTAAAATCTACTCCAACAAATCTCTTGAATGAAAGTATATATAAGAGATAAAAACAACTTTCTAAAACATTTCTAGGCAGCACTGGAGACCAGAGTTCCCTAAACTCTTGTTTCCAAAGAAGTCCTGTTCCAACAGCCCAACAAGTCATCTACTTAAAAAGGACCATCCCTTTAGTGCGCCCCTCCTCGAATTATTCGGTCATGCAGTACTTATAGAATACAAAGAACCATATGCATTTTGGCCACATCATAATTCTCAATCATTCCGTCTGACCATCCCAATACAATTTGGGGGACTTACATGTAAGTCCTAATAGGTGAACTTATTATCCAATAAGTTCTATGATAATTAATAGCATTATGGCCCACATGTTCACCATCGCGGTCGTGCCAGCTGGGATAAAGAATTTGTCGACATGGCAGTCGTGGACCGCGAGGCGGGCCCATGAGAGTAATGGGGCTGGAGGGTGCAGTCTCAGGGCCTCCTTGACTATGGCTTGCAAGTATGGGAGGTTTGGGATGTCGGAATCTCGCACTTGCCTGTGGCTGCCCACGCACGTGTCGATCTCTTGTTGAGCCTTTGCTTGAATGTCTTGGTGTAAAACCATTCTGGCTATGATCCATTCCAGAAGAATAGCAACTGATTCTGTTCCTCTAAATATCATCTCCTAAAACATTATAAAATGAAAAATTTAATTAGCATAAAAATGATCATCTATGTTAAAGATTTATTATTTAATTTATATCTATATTTCGTTATGTGAAAATCTGAAACCTGATTAGATTTACTCGAAGATAAAGTTCTCATATGACTTGCAATAAAGAGTTCTATCGTACATAGCACTTAGGGCTTGTTTGATTCCACAAGACTAATAGTGAGGTATTAATAATCCAATCAAATTAGTGTGGTATTCACAATCCCACCCCTACCCCATTATTAATAATCCTACAAATTTATTGGATTAATTATCCATTGGATTGATAATCCTAAAACAAAACGTCAAAACAAACACAGGATAATTGGGTCCGCGGATTAATAATCTCAATCTCATGCTCTAATCCTTCCAATCAAACATGCCAATTGAATACAAAGAACCAAATGCATTTCGGCCACATCATAATTCTCAATCATTCCGTCTAACCATCCCAATACAATTTGGAGGACTTACATGTAAATCCTAATAGGTGGACTTATTATCCAATAAGTTCTATGATAATTAATGGCATTTTTCATCAAACACTATTAAAAAAAATCACTAAATGTTAATTTTCAACAACAGTTTGAAAATTGTCACAAAAATGTCACTAATTTAAGTTTTAGCGGAAGTTTAAAAAAATTGTCAACAAAAAAGTCACTAATTTTCAACTTTCAACAACAGTTTGAAAAATCCGTCACAGAAAAATGTCACTAATTGTAAGTTTTAGCGACAATTTATAAAAACCGTAATAAAAAAAGTCGGTTGTTGTCAATTTTTAGTGACATACAAAAAATAGTCACAAAAAATTATTTTTAGCAACGATTTTACTAAGATTTATTTTCAATAGGACTTGGTGGGAATTAAGTCTAACTATTAAGACCTATTGATAGTTTACCCTACAATTTTTGATGAAAACTTTGAGAAAAAGCTTTTCTTTCAACTGTGTAGTGTGCACTGTCCTCGGCATCAACTACCTTTCCCACTTCTTCATTGAATGTCTCTTTGTTGTAGCTGTTTTCCCTCAATATTTTTTAACACCACCATTTTCCTTCCCTCTTTTTTCGGTGGGGGCAGAGGAGCAGAGGCGTGGTTTCAGTTGGTCAGGGTATTGTGCCAAGGTCACCAGGAAGGTCAATTGTGCCAACCATTAAGCTGACTGAAGTTCTTGCACATGGCACAAATAATCGCCCTCCAATTAATAATTTCATCCTGAAACAACATGCATGAAAGAAGGCAAATGGAATAGAATCATATCAAGATAAATGCAAAGGTAAGTGTACCTGTTAAGGAGAAGCAAGAAGACTCCCTGCGAACATATCTTGACATAGCCTGCATATAAATAAAAAATTTATTGAATTTTCCCTCTTTCTTTTTCTTTGTACTGTTACTTTTTTCTCGTCATTTTCCAGTAGATGTTTTGCCATACATGGAAAAAGAAAGATCTAGATGTGAATACAGAGAAAATTCAAGATAAAAAACACAAATAAAATTTAGGGTAAATTACACTAACCTCCCTTGAAATTTGGAGGAATTACAGTAGCCCCACAATTTTGACTTAATTATACTGACTCCCCCTTTTAGCAATGTTAAAAAGATCAAACTAATACAAATAGTGTGAAAACACAAACACAAAAAATAAAGAAGGAAAAATATGCATTTCAATATAAAGGAGATAACATCATTTTCCCATCAATATGACCAACGAATTATTCATGAAAAAGTGGGTTAAGTGTTATGTAAATTAAAACCTGAGGGGAGCCCATTGTATTTATGCCAAACTGTTAGGCTTTTTGTATTTTCTCCAAACCTCAGGGGACATCAGTGTAATTTACCCTAAAATTTATAAATCATTCTCAAAGCCTGTTTGTCGTTGCTGAACTTCAACAGAGGGGAGGGGGGGGAGGGCAATTTTTTTGGCAAATTTTGCTTAAAAAGTGCCAAAATAGGCGCACGATTGGAATTGCTTTTTTTTGTTTTGACAAGTACATTCAATTATATTCAGAAATTTCCATAAGAGGCATAACCTCTGAACACCAACTGTATACAATCAAACCAATGCGCCATTCCTATCCCTTCCCGACGAAGCTTCCTTTGATATGAATGAATGAGTAATGAAGGGGCATGCAAGAGAAATGAAAGCCCCCTACTTGTGCATGAGGCCCAGTATATTGAACTCTCGATGACCTGCAACTCAAGATTTATGAAAGCCCCCTACTTGTGCATGAGGCCCAGTATATTGAACTCTCGATGACCTGCAACTCAAGATTTTGGCTCAAGGATTTATGGTTTAGGGTCTTTGGGTTGTGGAAGAAAGGTCAAGGATCTTACGCCACCCTAGCAATATATGCCACGATGTAGCATGGAGTATACATAATCTACAATCCAAGGCGGCTCCATAACTAATGGTATTTCACCCATCAGAAATAATCACATGATTCACAAATGATAAATATTCACTTTTAAGCACCCAATATCAACTGCACTCCATACTGTAGTTTTGATAGCCAAACAGAAAGGGTATCTCAACGCGACAGACAAAATGAAGCTACAGCCAATAACAAGACCATTATATTTTTCATCTGACGTATCTCAACACGGAATATAAAATTGGCAAGATGATTTACAATCCTCTACAACCATAAGGGTTTAAAACAGAAACTTGCCTGGACTGCACGCTGTCCAGCATCATTTGGTATAGATGAACCATCATCGGAGAAGACATTCCTGTGGCATAAATAAACATTAATGCAGATAGTTAAGCATGACAGACAGGATACATCAATGGGCAATCCCTTAACCACATGGCAGTTCATTCCAGAAAGGGTATCTCAACGCGACAGACAAAATGAAGCTACAGCCAATAACAAGACCATTATATTTTTCATCTGACGTATCTCAACACGGAATATAAAATTGGCAAGATGATTTACAATCCTCTACAACCATAAGGGTTTAAAACAGAAACTTGCCTGGACTGCACGCTGTCCAGCATCATTTGGTATAGATGAACCATCATTGGAGAAGACATTCCTGTGGCATAAATAAACATTAATGCAGATAGTTAAGCATGACAGACAGGATAACCAACATCAATGGACAATCCCTTAACCGCATGGCAGTTCATTCTTAGCTCTTACTCGTACAATATATAAATTCTGAGTTTTTATTTTACCAATGACTGTCAAACATTATGTATGTCATCATTCCAATTTTCTGAAAGCTATTTACAAAAGCATGGATTCTGGAAAACAACACAGAAATTGCCATCATCTATCGACTTTGGAGGATAATTAAAAGATTTACTGCTAGATTGGCAGAGCCACCAACCAAATTGTATATAGTTGACCACCACTCAGAAGACTCCTTTTGCACTTAACCCATTCACGAGGCTCTTTCCAAGTTGAACCCTGCTAGGCATATCAAAGGAAATGATAGAAGCACATGTTTGTTCATCTTCTGCAAGGCCTTTCTACAGCATCTTATGGAACAAAGAGCCAGCAAACCCCAACCACAACTCCCCTTTCTGCTTCCCTGCTTATCCTCTTTCCCCTTCGACTCTTGAGTGATTACTATGCCTACCGCAGGTATGGGCCCAGGTTCCTATGCAGCAGGCCAAGTAGTTGTCACATCATCTCCCCATCAGCTCTGGTCTCTCATTCCAGCCACTTCAGGAGACACTTAACCCAATGGGATCTTGCCATTTGCAAATTATCCCTTCACGACACAGTTCCGTCTGCAGAGACTAATGTATGTGATGCCTATGCAATGCCTCAACCTCAAGCCAAGGTGCTCAGAGTCAATCTCCAAAGAGCTTCCTAGGTGTGCTCGGTCCCCACTCCCTCAATAGAGAGAATAATCGAGACAATTTTCTGCCAAGCATGCTGATGCAGGACGAATAGGGACAGCACTGGATTTTCAAAACAGAGGTTATTTGATGGCCTAAACAGTGAGTAATTTATGGTTTCAAGAGTAAATTGAAGGCTAATAGGTAGGGGAAGGGATTAGGGTTGATTTGAGGGTGATTGGATGGAGTTTTGAGGTTGACAAATGCACTTTTAGAGGGCTGTAAATAGTAATCCGAGAATAGAAAATTGAAACATAAAAGAAGAAGAAAGGAGGAGAAAAAGATAGGTCTAGGCAACACATCTAGACTCTGCATCACACCTAGGGTTTGATTGCATCACACAATCCATAAAAAAAACTTCAAAGCTCTTTAACTTTTTATAAAATATCAACTCTATTGAATATAAGCATCACATGGCTTTATATAGGACTAGGACACTTCTTAAACTAACTAGAACTAAAATATGAAACTACTAAAATATCTTTGACTTCCAAAACTAATTTAAGACTAAGGCCAAGTTTGGCAACCCAAAAATAATCCATCTTTTTATCTTTTTTTCATCACACCACCTCTCTACTTTTCTACACATCTTTTCGTTAAAAGACAAAAAATGCACTTATTTAGGTCATCCCAAACAACCCCTAAATAAGAAACAAAAACAAAGACTAATTAAATAACTTGACTCACAAGACAACTCATGAACGACCCCTACAGCCTATGTAGGCAAATATAAAATTACCAAAATACCCCTCGCCTAAAAATCCTAGAAACATAAAAACAATCATAAACTTAAACTATAATAATATTAGAAACATGATTGTGTATGGTCCTATTGATTTCTCTTTGAAACCATTCCAATTTTCAAATATCGCCGCTTCTTTAAATTTACACTTCTTTGAGCTTCTTATATTCTACATCATATGCATTTCCATTTGAGCCAATCTCGGACCTCCATCGGCCCAGCCAAGCAAATTATCCACATGAACATATTTCTCTTGTGGTTCTACGCTTAAGCTTAGGTCAAGAGAAGGGCCTAGGAACCCCCTTGAGGTTGGTGTCAAGGTCATGAGACGCTCAAGCAACCCCATGACAGGATCGTTGGGGTCTTGTGGTTTGGTGACTAAGAACTGAGGGACCATCAAGTTACCTCATTGCATTCCCCACTGTAGCGACTTGCACCTTGTCCTGTCTTAGAGAGGGATCTCCAAATGGAGATAACTCTTGCCTATGACAAAGACATGTTATGTGTTCGTACCTCTCAATACTAAAGGAGCACGCTTAATCACCATTGCAGTTGTTTATGGTTGTGTGGTGGTCATTATGTCCAGATCGCCAAGCCAAGAAGAAAGCACCACATGTATCTTTGTCCGCTTTATCCTTAGGCACATAAGTGAGATGACCTTTTGTGGATCAACCCAACTATACATAGACGGTTTCCACCATAAAAATAGGCACAACAATCTTCCACCATTCTCAAATTCAACACTAAATTTTCCAATAACTAGGCCAACATTTTGTCATCAAACCAACATTACAAGCTCTACCATATTAAGTCCGAGGCACAACATTCTTCCACCATTCTCAAATTGAACACTTAGTTTCCCAATAATAATAACTAGGCTGCCATTTTGTCATAGGCCACAATAATGATTTTGATGCCTCCTATAAACTTCACATACTCTAGACTTATTATTACCTTTTATGCTTCCAAAGTAATACCTGAATAAAAGTTCAGAATTTCCTATGACTAGCCTTATCTTTTTGTCATCAAGTCCACAACTATTGGTAAAAAGTTTCAGATAAGGATTAAAACTAAATTCAAATTGGTATGGGATTTATTGACAATAAATGATTTCTACGTTTCTAATGCACAAAACTATTGGAAATATAAGACAATGGCATAAGAAAACATTCAGTGTAAATATCAACTGAAAAATGAGAGTAGCCGCTCTAAAGTGTTCTTCATGCCAACACAAATGATTTATACCAAGGCAATGAAACAGTCTGACTCAGGTGAATGCCTCACCTCCATAGCACATTTTCCAATTCATGTTGTTTAGCTTCTGGAAGCAGAGCAGCGTCATAAGCAACAACATTTCCATAAAATATCTTCTCCAAATCTTTCATCCATCTAGTCAATAGTAGGTTAACCTGCCATGCCAAGAGGAATAAATGATGTCCACCTAAGATATAAATGTGTTGTAGATGCACCATGGTCTTACATGATAAAGATATTTTTCAACAAAAATTGAAGTGTCAAAAGACAATCACACAATTTTCTTCTAAACCCATTCCCATGGCCTACCAAGTATATAGAACAACTATGAGATAATGCAAAGCATTCAAACATATATAACTTGGAATTTCATATGGAACCCACTTGGGACACCATCTTGTCAAGTTTAGAGCTATCAGTGTTCTTTCATGATTAATTTCAGGTCACTATGCTGCAGGCTAAGAAGCATGGACACGAACACATGACATGGACACGCAAATTTTGAAAAATGCAAGACACGACACATTAGGGACTCATGCAAAACTTATAATTCTATATATTTTCTATATGCCGTATTTTTAAATATTTATTATTTGTTTTATCAAATTTATCAACCTTAAGTAAGCTATTTTAGTAAAAATAAAAATAAATAAAAAGTTTATATTTTTTTGAAAAAATGGTCCCCAACGTGTCCTAGCATGTCCGACACGTGTCTGTGTCTAACACCTAGCAGACACCTCTACGTGATCTCCGGAGAGATGTCCGTGCTTCATAGGCTGCTGGTATTGTTTTCCTGTGTTTTTGGAGTAAAAGTTATTTCACTCATTTTGTGATTAACTTCCAGGTTCTCTGCAGTTTATGTGTGGCCTCTAACTGTTCCAAAACAGTTAAAAGAAATCCCTAGTATTTGAAGCATCAAGAAAGCTAGTCATATTCCTAAAACAATCTCCTTCTTCAGCTTCCTTTTCTTCCTTTCCTTTGAAGTCTGCGGGATAAGATTTAAGTTATTTTCATTAAATTGAGCATCTTTCTCCCTTCATTTTTGCATCCTAAAACCTAGTTCCGTTAAGTATATTTTCTCTTTTTTGGCTTTTAATTTACACTTCAAACAGAGAGTTGGGGTATTTTATTTATTTTCTCTGTATGACCCATACTCTAACCTTTTCAGGCCTCTCTCTCGAACGCTTAACATGCATTTACCATGTCAAACTTTTTGATATATAAAGATAACTATTCATTAAAAAAGCACCATCACAAGGAGGTGCAACCCTGTGCAAATATACACCATAAAAAAAAACAAAAACAAAAAAATAAGAAGGAAAAAAAAAAACCTACATATCAACGAGGACATAAAGTTCTCCCAAAAAGTAAACAAAAGAAGATAAAGAAAAAAGAAAAGGAATAGTCGACCTAAACCAAACAAAAAAGTTATAGCATTGTTCCTTTTATTTTTTGGAAAATAGACTAGTATTGTTCCTTCCAAGTTTTCAACCAAAAAATCAATCTCTCTATGCCTTCAACCAAAAAAAAGTAATCTTGAGAAAGGCCTTAGGTTGCCAAATCCCCTTCCCAAGGAAAAGCTACATCCCCATACCGACCACTGCTTCCATAGAAAGATGCTACCAAAAATATATCATCCTTCATTCCTCTCCAAACTAGAGTATCATCAATCCCTTTTGAACCCTTCTTCCCCGTAGCATCCCAAAGAGAGCCACGTCACCTCCCAATCCTTGGAATGATCTCCATAAGATAAGATTCTAAACCGCTCCCATTTAAGACATATCCTAACAACCCTCCACCGAGGCATCAAAAATAACCACCATCCATCCTATACAGGTCTGGAAAAGCCACACTCAAACACCTTTGGCTACACCAAGGGTCCCGCCAAAATTGCACTCTCCTACCATTCCCCACTTCAAAGTATGTTAGATGAAAGAAGTCTTCCTTGACACTTATTATGATGACGCCTTCAATAATTCAACACTATATCTCTGATTTTCCTTATGTCACTAGTAACCCAATTCTCCCAATCATAGATGTGCTTTCCATCCATCACCCTCTTCCACAAGCCCTCCCTTAGAGCTCCACAACCATTTCCAATCTAGTTGAATGATTTGCCTCCAATGGCTAGAGCTAAGCCTATAATCCAAGTTGGAGGCTCCTTTCATTTATACCTTCTCCAACCTGTTACATAAACAGTTTTTTTTTTTTTGGTGGGGCGGGCGGTTTCAACTATTTTATACCTCAATAAACATATAATCATTTATTAGGATCCTTTGTAGGACTCTCTCTCTCTCTCTATTGACACAAAACCATACAATACATAAATTACGTTCCTTTTTTTTTTTTCTTTTTTCATATATTTTTACATGATCATACCTTCCCTAGAAATCAAGATGAGTTTATTCACTGATTCATTAGGCCAAGTTTGGCATCCTCCAAAAAATCTAAAAAGTCAAAAAGTCACTATCCTATTTAAGTCACATCATCTTATTTAAGTCACATCACCTCTCTAACACATCACTTCAAACCCAACCCAAATCCAACCCATATTTCATAAAAAGTCAAAAAGTGCACTTATTTAGTCTTCCCAAACTTGGCCTAATTCTTAAAATGCAAATCTTCAACAAGTAGCAAAACTTTCCCAATCATAGAAAACATTCAGATTTCTAGATAGTTACATGTCCCAAACTTAGGGTTTCTCATAGTTTCTTCATTGACAAAGAGAATGATTCCATTCAACAAAACATGTTCAACCTAATAAATACCATGACTAAGAAGCACAGACACGGGCATGCCAACCCATATTTTTCAAAAAAAATGTAGGAAACGATATGTGGAGGGCACGCACAAAATATATAATTTTATATAAATATTATGTATCACATCTATAAATATTTAAGTCAAAGAGAACAACTTTTGATGTCTAAAAGAGGAGAATATGTATAAATTTACTTTGTTTTCATTTTATCATTGAATTTGAAGTTATTTTATTCAAACTTACAATGTATTTCATGTGTGTCTAAGTATTAGGAAATGCCAACAAGTATTGTGTCAATGTCAAACACAGCACGTTACCTTCTTAGAAGTGTCCATGCTTCTTAGAACCACGATCATTCCTTATTAGACATGCAAATCTATAGAATTCTAAAATAAATTCTCAATTTCAAAAAAGAACAACAATTTGGTAAGGTTTTTTGCTAGAAAGAAGCTAAAGAAAGAAACATTAAATAATAATGAATTTTAAAGGTTTGAAGTCAGCAACGGGATACAAATCACTAACCCCAGCCCTAGATACTCTCAGCTCAACATCATGATTGTATATCTCATACAAGTATTGCCCAAACTCAACACCTTCATTTGCCTCTTGTTTCAAACGGTGTAAGCAAAGCCACATGTGCAGCACAAGCAAAGAGAATGTTGTTTTGAAGGTCTTCTCCAAGCTAAATACTGCACGCAAAGAGTTCTATCACACAACAGTACATAAAACTCAAGGTAGCATGGAAGACATTAAACAAAAAGTAGGCATTATTTTCTTTGGTGATGATCATTGTAAAATCCACATAAAATTCACAGGGTGAATTTCAAGTTCTAAACAAAAAAATAACTTCCGTGCCACCAATCAAATGTTTGGGAATTACAAAAAAGTGCCAATCTGATTTATCTTTAGGGGTGGGAACAGATTATCTCTGGAAAAGAACCACTTTTAAGGTATTTCAATGTTTTACACATCTTACCTTCTACCCCCCTTTCAAATATTTGTCCCTAACAAGCAAAATTTTTAAAGGCATATGCGTAACTCAAGGCATTTTACCCTTCATGAGGTGAGGCGTAAGCATTTCAAATTTTAAATTTTAATATTCAGTAAACAAATTAAATAATTTAAAATAGTGAAAAAAACAAAAAACAAAAACAAAATTAAATATAAATGTATATATACTTTTCTCCTTAAGGCATCAAACATTTCACTGCAGAGAATGAAACTTGCCTTCATTAAAAGTGAAATTGGCATTCTTAACTTTAGTGATTGAACTTCTCACTTGAACATTAATTTTGTATTTTTTGTTCATTGTTCATTTAATTTTTTCTGTAGAATATAGTCACAAAAGAGGTTCTTGTTTATTTTTGGCTTTTTGATGTTTAAACTACATACTACAACAAGAGTTTAAGGTACTTCTTCATATGTGTACTTGGCATAGGCTTATGCACAAAAGGCATACAAGGTGCACCTAAGGTGCATGGCTCACATTATGATGTGAAAACCTTTTGGGAGTATAGCCTAAAAATTAAAGCCTTGATGCATTTTACCTTAGCCTCGAGGCGAGGCGAGTATCGAGGCAAGCCTCAGTAAGCTTTTGAAAACTTTGCTGACAAGCAATCTCTCATTAGAAAAGGAAGCCATATGGCTAGCAAGTGATAATGATTTCCAAGAAAGGCTTCCATGTTGGCATGCATAGTGTAATGTTGTAATGCAGACATGGGTTCAAATCAATAGACTTTTACATCTTTCCTACCATATGGGCTTTCCAGGGAGGAAATGGTTGATTTTCATCCATTCATTTAGAATCCTCACCTCAGTTAGCAAAGCTTTCAAAACTGTTGTGGACCTCAACATGTGAATTATGGATGTAATTGTTGAAGATGCTCTAAAGGAAGCCCAACCTCAAATGATACATTGCTAATCCCCTTTTCTCAATATCAGACTACATGAAGAGGAAATCAAACATGTTTTGCGATAGAGCATAGAAAAATTAAATCTATCTAATTGTTACAGGAATTAGTTTAAAATAGTTCAGAAGATACAAAGTCAACTAGGAAACTGCTGTATGAAAGCTAAATTTGTTGTTCGTTGTTGTGTGGCTTTAACGATGCCTTCTTTCCAAATTCTTTCATAATAATTATCAGAAAACTTGACTAATCTAATGAGAAACATTTATATAGGTAACTTGACCACTATTCATTTCCCCTATGACATAAAATCTACATATATACACTACAGAAAATTTGCAGGCAATCTTGAGTTTGCTAAAGCAGCTGAAAAAAGATTGAATTGCTGGATAACCAGAACATGTAAAGACTAACCGTTGTAGATAGCAGGTTTATCAACTTGAGAAATGATACGGCGGTAAACCACATTTGCCCCTCGAATGGATTTGCTTTGTTTACTATAAAACAGCATCAGCTTGAGAAAAATATACCGGATGCCCTCATACTTTGGCTCTTCATCTGGTATTCAGCACTAGAAAATTGAACAGCACACAACAGTATATCATCTAATGTAGATGACAAGAAGAGTCAGATAGTGCATGAGAGTTTTATTTTCTTTCTAACATCAATTGGGTATTACCAGAGAACATAACATAGACTTGATAACACAACCTTCAGTAAAAAAATCTCACCATCAGACCACAAAATAGCTTATTGGTAAGGTTGCAATTAAATTATACTTCTAAAAACAGCAATACATACCACATAAGCCAAGTTATTTGTTTAGGTTTACCAGGCTGACAATAACTTTCTGTTGGGACAAAAAACAAAAAAATAACAAAGTTATAAAATATAAAAAAAAAAAAAGAAGCAATCAATATTTTGGGCCAGATAAGAAACACACAATGAAGATTTTTACCACTGTAGATGCCATCAAGAAGAGGCTATAACATTTTCCTTTACCATCGATATATAGTGTACCAAAACATAAGTTAAGGAACTAGACAGTCCTCTTTTTTTTTTTTTTCCCTTCGCACACACAAGAAAGGTCCATTTTTACATCCTCAGACAAAGGCAATCTAACTGAACAAAATAAAATAAAAATAAAAATAAAATAAAAAAATAAGTGGTCTCCTTTTAGGTGTTTCTTCACCTGGGTTTGTAGTCCTTTATTGATGTCGCTATCTGTAGCAGCTGTGCCCAATACAAGTTTTTCTTTACTCAGACCAAAATTTAATTTTCAAAATTACAGAGTATGATATTAAATCAAGATTGGGACAAAGCTTGTTAAGTCGAATAATCAAATTAAGCATGAATGAGTTGTTCATATAGGACAGAACAACCAACAGAAAAAGCTATTAACCACAATATAGATAGATTACAGCTATCCAGGACATTGAAGTTCTAAAATTAACGACTCAGTATCATCAAATTCTAATGAATTTTTTTTATAAGCAGCAAGTTCATTCAACAGAGAATCAATAACATTCTCACAAAATCCAAATTACTAGTTCTGAATTTATACCTCGGGTGTACTCACATAACCTTTCTCAGCAGAATCGGCTGCGATCGGCACCTCGGTGGCAGTGGCAGCGGCGACTTTGGAATAGCTTCGGCATGAGAAACCATGAAAATCTCTTCTAGTTACCATGTTGTTCTTGTGTGATGAAACCCTAGAGAGATAAGTCACAGCTCTGCTCCATCTCGGCAACATCGCAGTTGCAATCTGTCAAATTCAAAACAAACATTTTACCAAAAATGTGGATTGAAGAAGAACCATTCGTGAATAACTGTTGGTGCGTATATATGAAGCATATGGAGAACCTGTAAACAGAGAGAGAGAGAGACAGAGACAGAGACAGAGACAGAGACAGAGAGGGTTGTTGCGGCTTGTGATATTGGAAAGCGTTTGCCGTGGTTTTTTGTGATTTGTTTTCAACTTATGTGGTTTCGTAGCCCTTAAACCCTACTGATGAGATTTTGAAGAAAAGTAGAAAAATCCAACGCCGCACAATCGGTTGCCTTCAGTGTTGCATTCACTATGTTTGTCTATGTTTGTTTTGATTTTTCTAAATTAAGTTTTTTAATTTTTGTATTTTTTTTTGTTTTTAATAAATATTTTTTAAATTTTAAATATATTTTTTTATTTTTTTAAATATACCTTAGTTAGATATATCCAAAATATAAAAAATTTATAAAAAAATATTTTAAAAAATTAATAAATACATAAAAATACAAAAAAAAATATATTGAATTTTTGTATTTTTTGTATTTTTGGTATTTAGTGAATTTTTAAAAGATTTTTTTTATAATTTTTTTACTTTTTAGGTGTATTAATTTAGGTGTATCTAAAAAGTAAAAAAATTACTTAAAATATTAAAAAAAATTAGTAAAAACAAAAAAACATAAAAAATAAAAAAGTAAAATTTTTTGAAAAGCATTTTTTAAAAAATGAAAACAAACAAACTGATTAATTTTTTTTCCTTCTCTCCTTTTTTAATGAGATGAGAATAAAAATACTATGATGTAGCATTTTCCTTCTCTTTTGCCTCTCGGGTTTTCTTTCTATTTTTGTATTTTTAAAATGTTATAATTTAGTCTTAAATTTTGTATAAAAATTAAAATTTAAAAAAAAATAATTCTCCTTAATATTCACATGGTGCTTTATGGTCCTCTTCATTTTTTTTTATAAAAAAATATTTAAGAATTCTAATTGAGCATCTCTAATCCACCTTTAATAATGTGAAATAGATCGCACTTCTCACTTCTCATCTTTCCTTTCTATCTCTCTATTCTCCCTCTCTTTCACCTTATTAAAGGTCAAAATAAGCAAGATATATTAGGGAGATATAACACCACTCTTTTCATATAATTTACTAATGAAACCAATAGAAGAAATAAATTATTGTCCTCATTTTTTTCCTATAATTTACTAATTTTGACGCATTAGACTAACACTATATATCTTTTGTTTTTATTTTATTTTTAGATAAGGATTGTAAATTTAATCTTAACAACTCATCAAAATTCTAAACATGAAATTTATAAGAATTGTGTATATATATGATTATCAAATTTGCGTAATTTATTATATAATATAAACGGGTAATGGCCATCTATTTTGCAAGACATGTGCCATCTATTCGACCAATGCATTTATGATGAACTAGACATTCAAAATTTGGTAACCTCAACAAAACATTAACACGAAATGATGAACGAAAAAAAAAAAAAAAAACAACCTATTTTGTTATATGACTAGTGGATGTTTGTGTCTGAAGACACGATGTAAATTATGTTAAAATGAAAATATAATTGTAATTTATATGTATCATGTTGAAATTTGATAAAGATACTGAAATAATATAAAAAAAAATATTATTCTTCTTAAAGAACTTCTATCAATTTTGCTTATACCACATGCTCTACATAATTGAAATAAAAATAACAACGTATTGCAAATCAAAATAGTGAAAGCATATGTGCCAAACAAATTAAGAAAAAATTGTAAACATTAGACACAACATACAAATTAAAACTATTGTACACTTGTGTTGGCTACATATTTTGTACACGCCAGTGACAATTCGACGTGTGGAAAGGTAAGGGCAATATAGGGAAACCAGTCAAGTCTCCGATCCTGATCATACACGTGGCAGTTAAAATTGGTTGTTATAAGATCTGAGTAACAGTAGATCAACAAAGAGATGCAAAGTGACGTGGCTTCAACGATTACTCACATTCAAATTCAAAATATAGGAGGGAAGCCTAACCGCAAGTGAAAGCGTAGTGGAACTATTCATAAGGCAGCATGATCAGCGATTACAGAGAAGCAGTTCAACAGTTTGAAGTGTAGTTCGATGGTTATCTTTGGGGAGTATAAATAGCAAGAAGGACCTCAGAGAAAGGAGGAGGCTCAAATCTAAAGAAAACCAGTCTTACTTTACATATTCCAGTTTTTATATTTCCTGTTCTTTACATTTCTGTACTTTAAATTCCTGCACTGCACTTCATTTGTAGGAGTAGTTTTCGAATATATTGCCGCTGTAAATCTCTACGAGGCTGAGATCATTGTAAGTTTTTCATACTAATGAAATGCTTCAATTTATTTAACTGTTCTTATGCTTAAATTCTCCTAAATCAAGCTACCAGTAAGCCACCAGTAAAAGTCCTCTTCATTGAGGCTGAAAGAACTATAACACAATCGTCTGAATAATTGGTTGGCAATTACAATTCTGTAAGGACTGATTGATC